TTTAGGGATTGGAAAGTGTAAATTCGCAAAGGGAATGGGGCGGATGGGGAGTGTACTATGGCGTAAAGAAGCGGGAACCCCGAGGAGGAAGGAGATAGAAGAGGGAACTACAGGAGAATGGGATATGAGGAGGCGCCGCACAGTTAGCAACAACCCCTGCCCCTCCACGTTGAACTAGGGAGAGGATGGCTGCTGGAGGATGCCCTCCTTCTCACCATCCAGTCTCTGACCTTGTCCCGCAGTGGTGTGTAACCAGGCTCTAATCGCGGTCCGAGAGCCTAGTGGTAGGGTGGGGCAAGAGGACCCATTATAAGCCGGCTCAGCCACTTGTTGGGGAGGGGTCTGGTAGAGAAAACCAGTGGACTTCTGGAGTGCAGCAAGGGTCCTGGAAGAAGGCCAAGATCTGTTAAAGGCAGGGAGGGTCTTTGGTCTCCGAGGGCGTGGTGTTGGCTGGGGAAGAATAAAGATTCCGACAGGTGAGGTGCTTGGAGATCCCCATGCCTTGCCTAGTTTGACAGATGGGGAGACTGAGACCCAGAGAGACTGGAAACTGGTCAGATCAGCCCCACAGCAGAGCTGATAAGAAAACCTAGATTTCTAGACGTGCAACCCAGAACTATTTTCCCCTATGGACCCTGGGGGTGGGAGTGGTAGGAACTGCTTAGCTAAGAACTGGCCTCCGCGTTTCCCCTCCTTGTATGGGCTTCGATGGAGGTGATGATGCCCTTTCACCCAAATCCTCAGGTGTGAGATTATCTTAGTCCCCCAGGCTGGGACAGGGAAACCAGCATATCGTTCATAGTCGAGCTCCATTCCATGCCTTCCTACTAGGGAAAGGGGGCTGGATTCTGGCAGATATCCAAATAAGGTGTGGGGGACCCACCTCTTAGCTCTGTTCCTAACCGTTTCCTGAACTAGGGACCACAGGTGTTGGCTCTTGAAACCAAAGCTCTCAACTGCCCCAGCACAGTATGCTGGGTACTATGCCCACAGACCCCAGGAAAGCAGCCACACTTGGAGCAAGCGAGCCCCGGGACAGCTGCTGGGAAGTCGGGATGCCCAGAGCCAGCCCCTCCTCCCTTAGTAGACATTCCAGCCAAAACCTGTGTCCCTGAAGTGAGCTGCAACATCCTTACCACCCTTGTCCCCTTATTTTGCCCCAAATAAGGGGGCGAATTTGGGCTGCAGGGCTGAGAATCCATCCGGCCTGCTCTTCTCCATATACAGATGTAAAGAATGAGAGGCCCATGGGGGAGAAAAGACCGTGTTCAGCTCTGACAGTAAATAGCTTCAGCTTCATCTCTAAGTAGAACCCAGCTCTTTCTGAGCCTCCAAAATTGTCAGCCCCATTTTTGGTCTCAGTTTCTCTTGGCTCAGTCCCTCACTCACCTCTCAGTGGTTTCCTTCCTCAAACACACCACACCTCTGGGTGGGTCCTGTGCAAACAGAGCTCCTTCCATGGTGACAAGGCCCTGCTCTCTGCTGGGGAGTGGGATCGGCCTCACTCTGACAGCAGGGCTAAGGCCAGTGCCCTTACTGGCCAGGCAGGGCAGAATCCGCCCTCGCCCCTCTAGTGTTAGACCCAGGGTTCTCAGGACATCCAGGCAGACAGACCCAGCCCTGTTAGTACCAGTGATCACAGGCACACCTGGTGGCCGTGCTGGGAGAATGGCCCAGGGAGGAACAGCGAACAAGTTTTGGAGCCTAGATTCGTGTCTAGGTCAGTCACTCACTCTTTGACTTTGGCGCAAGTCACCTCTCTCCAAGCCTCATCTGTTAATTGGGGATATTAAAATCTGTCCGGGGCTGTTACGAGCATCAAGTGAAACAACCCGTGTAGGGTCTGGGTGAAGTCCCTCACTTCCAGCCAGGGCTGTGTAGCCCGGCACACCACCTCCCCACGCTGGGCTGCTTCTGGAGGGCTCACCACAGCTGCTGGGGGCAGAAGGGTGGGCAGGGTGTCGTGATGGGACGTTGGAGGCAAGAGGGCAGATCTCAGGGAAGCTATGACCCGAGGGGCTTAAAGCTCTGTCCAAGAGCTCTTTGGTGCACACTCTTGCGGGACACTCGGGCTTTGCCCAGCACCCAAGGAAGCGGGGCTTGGGTCAGCATGGAGTTCCCACAGGGCCTCAAGACTAGGAGCCAAGAGACCCGGACTTGCATCCTGACTGCACTAGCACCTGAGGCGTCTCGTAAATCTGTATACTGACACACACACTCCCTTCTGGGTTATGGATGAGAGGCTTTGAAAATACCTTGCCGATAAACAAATAAACAAATAAATAAATAAATAAAAATATGTTTTTAAAAGGTTAAAAAGAAAAATAGAAATATCTTACTGCTATACATAGGGGACAAGGGTACCAGTGCATTTCAGGGCAAACACTTCCAAGGTGGGAAATTCTTGTCCCTCAGGCTCTGGAAGGCAAAGTCTACATTTCTCTTCTTTCCTCAGCCTGTGGGCTGAAAGCTGCTCAGGTGCCCTGGAAGGCAGCCCTTGCTCCAGCCTAGGGAGGCCATATAAGCCCGCTCTTCAGTCTAACAGTTCTGGGTGTGAATTCCAGGTCCGTGACCTTTGGGCTTCAGCTCTGTTTTTTTTGCATCTGTAAAGCGGAGCTAATAGCATCAAGCCTTCAGGGAGAATGGGAGGGCCGAGGGCGATAACATGCACACGAGGACAGTCCTCACCACACAGAGGCCCCTGGGCCACCGACTTGCTGTGGCATGCCTGTCCCTTAAGGTTCTCTTCTGTCTATTGCAATCAAGTGTCTCCTCACTGCACAGAGCTAACAGGAAAACTGAATTTAAGAATGGCCAGGGTCTCTGAAAGCTCTCATACTCCTCTGCTCTCGGTCCCACGTCCAGGCCTGAGAGCTGTTCGCGGAGGTCCCTGTGCTCTGCCTTCCCGCTTCACTCATATGCTCATAACCTTCCCCCTGCTCTCAGGTGTGGGTTTTGCTACCAGGCAGGTGGCCAACATGACCAAGCCTACCACAATCATCGAAAGAAATGGGGACACTGTCACCATAAAAACACATAGCACCTTCAAGAACACGGAGATCAGCTTCCAGCTAGGGGTGGAGTTCGACGAGACAACAGCGGATGACAGGAAGGTCAAGGTGAGTCATGGAAGGGGGTCTGGGAGTTGGAGGGTGTGGAGACGTGGCACCTTACTGTTGCACCCCGAGGGGCAGGTGGTTATGGGGGACTGAAATGAACAAGGTACATAAAGCCTGTGCAGTGCTGGGATGCCCCAGGTGCTAGAAGCACACTAGTCCTGTCTTCCTCCCTCTCTTCTTGGGGAGCATCTATCGGGGAGTGGGCAGCACAGGGCCAGGATGTTCTTCTGACCTCAGCGTTGACTCCAGCTCCAGCTCAGTGACCATGCATGGCACGCACTAGTTCTGGACTTCTTTCCAATCCATAGACGGGAGAGTTATGTGGCCATGGCTGTGACCTCCAAGTGCTTTAGGAAGAATGCCCAGAATTCAGAGCTCTTCCCTGATTGAGCAGATCATCCTGGCCTCCAGCAGCACAGGGGGCAGCTGGGAACAAGAGGTGGGAACCTACTCAGAGGCTTCCTTTTCTCCAACCTCCACCTCCCAGCCTTGGCCAGTGACCCTGAGGAACTATTTCCAATGTTGCCAGCCCACAGGCAGGAAAAGCTGTGTTCTGGATGGGGCATGGTCTATGGTGTGTTTGTATGTCTTCTCACCAGGCCTTAGCCCCTCTCCTCCCAGGGAGGGAGGGGACATCTACCTCTAGTCTCAGGGCTTCTCACCTGTGGTGGCTCTTGTCTTTGCTGCTTGCCTCAGGCCTCCCAGCCCTCTCGGCCACACATGGCAGAGAGAGAACTAAGGGGCTTTGATCTCTAAAGGGAGTTCCTATAGCAGTATCTCCACCAGACCCTATCAGTCAGCCCCTCAGCTGTTTCCCGGCTTCCTCACAACTGCCCCAGAAAAGACAGGACAGGGTCTGGTCTTCTCCTTGTGAAGGAAGCTGGAGCCCAGGCCAGAATCAACAGGAAGCTGGCGGCAGAGCCGGGATGGTGCCCAAAGATGTCATCCTACCTTGGAGAGAGGTAGCTGCCCTATCACATGCATCTGCCTCCTTGACTAGCCCACTTTTTGAGGAATAAGAATCCCAATGAAACAGTAGTGCTCTGGGATGCCTAGGCTAAAAATAATCTGGAGTGGGCCAAAAAAAAAAAAAAAAAAAAAAAAAAAAAAAAAAAAAAAAAAAAAAAAGAAAAGAAAAAAACCACCACCTTGGGGGATGGGAATGAGGAGTAAGGTGGTGGGAGCAAGGATGCACAACTATTCCCCATGTGGCCCCGAACACACACAGAGCCTCCTCAGATTCTCCTACTGAAGCCTGCTCAGCCAGAGTCCCCTAGCCTGACCTAGAGCCCCCAAATTCCTAAACAAGAGAAACATGGGAGAGCTGCCAAATGAGAACCAGCTGATGCAGGCTGGCAGAGCCCAGAAGACTAAGTGGGCATTTGACCAGGGTCTGGAACACTCCAAGGGCACCCAGACCCAGGACCTGGCAGTTGCTGTCCACTTGTCAGCTGAAGGGGTCACATGATGTGGATCGGGAAGAGAGAGGAATACAAAGCAGGAAGTCTGATTTCCCAGCACCTCCCATCTCCAAGGTCTGTTAGACGTTATGTGTGATCAGCACTCGGGCGGAAGGTCTCAGGACCCCTCCTCACCGGTCTTTCCTGGGGATATAGGATGATTCATGTCCCCTGTATCTAAGGGGCTCTAGGGCTGTGGACATCACCCAGAGGAGGGGATGAGTGCCCATTCCGAAGGCCGGTGGCACTTCTCAGAACCGGGCTGTCTGGCTCCACCATGCTGCCGGCGTCTCCCTACCCGCGCAACACCTGAAGGCCCCCGCCCCAGCCAGGCAGTCGTGGAGCAGAGGCTGGAGGAGGACCAGACCGCCTGCGGGGCTAGGTCGGAGGCGGCCGCCTGAACTCCGTTAGTTTGGGACACAGACAGGGTCCTCTGTGACCCCAATGACCGGACACCATCCTGTCACTCGGTCCTGGCTCAGATCGCAGCTCAGACCTCTACCCTCTTTCACAGTCCATCGTGACGCTGGACGGAGGCAAACTTGTCCACCTGCAGAAGTGGAACGGGCAAGAGACAACACTGGTGCGGGAGCTAGTTGATGGGAAGCTCATCCTGGTAAGATGGACAACTTTGGAGCCTCACCCAACCGGTTACCACTCCTTCCCCTTCAGTCAAGCCTGTGGGAAAGCCAGCGGCTTCCCCTGGGAGCAGTGGAGGGCGGAGGCGGGGTTGGGATGGCTTTAGGTGGGAGTTTTCTGTGTGGTGGCTTTGGACTCATACAGGCCTGGATTCACATCTCAGTTATACGAAACAGGGCTTCACACACGTCACCTTCTCCGTGTCCCACTGTAAAAGGGGCGGGAGCAATACCAAACTTGTGGGCCGCTGGGGCATCAGGAGACCGTGACGTAGAGCACACAGCATCACACGGGCGAGGCAGAGGGCCACCATACGTGCTCCACGGCCTTAGTGTCCTCCTCTGTTGCCACCTTGCCTCACCCGGGAGTAGAAAGCAGGGCCAAGCTGGATCCCAGGCCCCTAGGAGAGGCTTCCCTCTCCTCCCTGGGACGGCGCTGCCACACAGAAAGCCTCTGGGCAGGGACAGTGGGGCAGTGACAGACCAGCCCTTTCCACCTCATTCCAGCCCCACCGCCGGTCAGTGCTTTGTATGCCTGGCCCTCTGCGAGTACCTGATAACAGCCTGGGGAGGAAGGGACAGCCAGGCTGGCACGTGGGTCTGTTTGGGGACAAACTTGGGGCCTTCACTGGAAGAATGTAGCCGTGACTGAACACCCCCAGGCCTGGGGCAGAGACAGCAGCCCCTGTGGTCTCTGTAACGCTCTCCCTGCATTGTTGCATCCAGGAGGCCCTGCAGAGTGAAGAATGAGGTGTCTAGGTCTGGTGGGAATGTGATACGCAGGACCAAACACTCACTGGGCAGTTCGGCCTGTGGTGAGGCCACGGGCCTGGCTCTACGATGCCAGGCTGGATGATGGTGGCTCAAGCCTCTGGTCCCTGCACTACTCTAAGTCGGGGAAGGAACGGAGAGTTGGTGGCCTAGCACAGTTCTTGCCCAAGAGTCTCTGGACATTTGTACTCACTATTTGTGTACTACGCGCCAGGCACCATCTTAGGCACTACGGGAATGGTGCAAGGGAGAGAGAACGCCCTGAGATCTTGACCAGTCACTTCCTCTCTCATAGCTCATTTCCCCAACTTTCTAACAGAGGAAGTAAGTGCCTAACGAAACTAAAAGCTTGGTGCTAAGTATTAGAAAAAAAGACACGTAAAGTACCTGGCACACAGCAGGCAGTCAATAAATGAAGATTATTGGGATGAAGGTAGAGGCCCCTCCCATCAGGATGCGGAGTGCCCCGATACCTTCGGTGCCCTCACCCCTGCCCTAATCTGACTCTGTCTCTCCTTCCAGACACTCACCCATGGCAGTGTAGTTTGCACTCGTACTTACGAGAAGGAGGCATGACCTGTCCACTCCTTCACCGACTGCTCCTCTGCCAATCGACTAGCCCTGGACTCAGCACCGAATTGCCTCATTTTTCCCTTTGGCGTTTTGTATAAATCCACCTGGGTTGGGGAAATTCTTCTGGGGTCAGGCGACACCAGCCTAGATCCGTTTCTGGCTCCCAGTGTGTATGTTTGTTTTTTCAACTGCATCCAAAGGGTGCTCTAAGGTCAATAAAGCAGAGCCAAGGTCACCAAATTGCCTTTTTGCCTTTGGTGACACGACTCTGGGAGTCTTGGTTTCCTGTGTGTCGGAGAGTGGGCAGAAATACTGCCTGAAGGTCACTCAGAAGCGGCACAGATGAGAGACTGAACTGGACAGTCTCAGGGACCGCGGTAGCTGATCACGTAACGCGTATAAGAGCAGAAGAGCTGCACCTACACCTTGCCTTTACACTGTCCCCCCACCCCATGGCCAAATGAGCTAGTCCAACCTGGAATAATCCATCAGTGGCCCGGCTTCCCCAGGCTTGGCTACTAAACTGTCCCCTCAGGCCCATCCTGCACTGAATGCCCTTGGGTTTGGGAAGCCGCTCTTGTCTGTGAAATGCTGTGGTCTCTCTCTTTGCAGAACGTAGGCTCGGGACACAGGATGCAGGCTTGTGCCTTCGTAGTAGGAGCAAATGCTCGCTGGCCAAGATGACTGCTAAGCTCCCTTCTATGCCCTCGGCCATTCAGGGTTATGAATTCTTACCGGTTCTCTAATCAGCTCTGGGGGGAGAGGTCATCTAATCATTACAGAAGGGAGGGCTTGTAAGTGATCTCCTAAGAAGGCTGTGACCTGCTGGTGCCTCTGGCTCTGTACCTCAGCTGGGCCTCTCTCCAAGGTCTGAAGTAACATATTAAATGGTTTTCTGTCAACTAATACAGACTCAGTGACTTTTAAGGCTGTAAATTACCCAGGAAGAGGGATTATGGCAATAAGAACCTTCAGTAAGTTTAAAACCAAACACACTTCCGTTTAGTGCCAGGAATTGAAGCAGAGACCTGAAGTGGGACCAAGGGACTCACACGGTAGTGAATACAAAGTAAAGCAATGATCTTGGCTTGAGCTGTCTGGTTCAGTGGTCTGGCAGAATGTCACACACAAGCTCAGTCACTGCAGACGATGGTTTTCTGGCTGTCACTTCTAGCATGATTGAATCATGTCAGGGGGAATGGAAAAAGTGAGCACCACTTCTTACCATGTTCTCCCTCATCCCGCCGATCTCCCTCAGCCCCCGTGTTGGATGCTCACCAAGCAGCCCAGGGCAGACCCGACGGGGAGGGGCCACTCACTCTGTTCTCCAACTACAGCCAGACTCGCCTCCACAGCGGTACCTGTGGCTGGAGCCTGGACCCCTGTGCAGGAATCTGGCTCTGGCAGTGGCAGCTGGAGAGGGTAATAGGACCTCCTGCTGGATGAAGGAAGTTGAGTGAACGAACGGGCGAGCTGCAGGGGTCACTTGCAAAGGGACCAGGAATGATAAGTGGACGACAACTCATTCGGGCAGATGCTTCTGACTTCTAACTCCCAAACCTGCCTGCTGCATGAGGGGAAGTCATCTCCCATGGGCGAGAAGCCAGCGGGGTGGGAGGCCATTTTCTCACTACTGAGTCTTTCCGGGAGCCAGGGCTTCAAGGCACCGGGCTCCTGGTTCCTCCTCCTCTCAGCCACCCCCCTACTCTCTCCGCTCTCACTCCTTGTGCTTCTTCTTGTGCTTCTTCTTCTTCTTCTTCTTCTTCGCTGCCTTGCTGTCCTTGGAGGTGTGCCTTGCCCTCTTGCCTGTGTCACTCTCAGAGTCTGAGCTGTCCGAGTCAGATGACTTCCTGTCTCTGTGTTTCTTTTTCTTCTTCTCCTGAAAAGAAAATTTAAAAAGCGGCGTTGCATGTGTGCGTTTGCTTGAAAGTCTTGCGGCATATAATCGATAGGGGACCATTTAACATATTATAAAGCATTAAGAAGAGTACGTTAAACCTTCAAGTATCAACGAGAAAAGATACCCCAAACGAGTGACAGGGCCGAGTCATGCTACAGCATGTGTCCTAGAGTCCAGTGTGTTTACCATACCATACAATGTGTGTATTTACACATACCTGTAGGCGTGTAAAATACACAGGTGTGTGAAATACACAGAACAACAGGAAGGACACAAACTGGCGACAAGTGACCTCAGGAATGAATGAATGGAGGAAAAGATGGAGTCTTTTACTTTTTACTTCATAGAACTCTGTCCAGTTAGATTCAAAAAACCAAAACACGAGCGTCCTTACTTTTATTTTTAAAAAGCACAGGTGAAGGGAGTCCTTAGAGGTCATCTAGCGTAGCTGGAGGCAGCGCCCCCAGGGGCCCGAGGCCCGCGGAATCAGAGTGAGAGCTCCAGGACCTGGGGGTCCCGCGCTGGTTTCCAACAGACCCTGATGCAGGGAGCAGAGCTGCCATCAGTTAGAAAGGCTCCCGCTGCTGCCCTTGATGTGTGTCCTCTCTAACCTGCGCAACGGCCCTGTGAGATTTTACTGCGAGGGGGAAGAGCCCAGAAAGAACTTTCTCCAAACTACAACCACCACACCATGCCGCCAAAGGAACAGCACAGACTCAAAGGATGGGAGGCAGATTTCTAGACTTCCGTGCGGGGCTTCAAGCGGTTTTTAAGCAGTGCGTAGCTTTTTCCTTGAATTTCCAACGTCTGTATTGCCTCAGGGAGGTTTCTAAGAAGGGGATATTAGGGGTAAGAAAGAGACGGGGCTGAAGAGGCACGGCTCCTGCTCCCTCTACGGGTTCCCGGCCGGCATCCCGAGGGCTGTCGAGTGCGTGAGTGATACGCCAGGTCTTAGGAGCCGCTGTGAGAAATGATGGGCGGAACACCGGACCAGGTGTCAGACCCAGATTCGAGTTCTGGCTTTGCCACTTACGATCACTGCTCTGCAACTCAGCGCGAGCCATTTTATCTCACGAGACCTACTCTCCTCAAATGTGACGTGGAGCTGGGAACAACACCTGTGTCACATGACTGTGGTGAAGATGTGATGAGACAGTATCCGCGGCTCAAGAGGTTGAGAGCCACTTGCCCCAGACCACATGGGCAGGGCTGGAACCCGCACGCGCATGAGACAACTGGCAAGTTTTCCTGTGTGGAAAGTTTTCCTGTGTGGCGCACGGCCTCTCCTCCCATACAGCAATGGCAGGCCTCGTGGTATGGTGGCCAGTGCAACGATTTCGGAATCAGACAGAGTGAAGTTCAAATTCCAGCTGCCGCTTACTAGCTATGTCACTTGGGACGAGAGACTTAACTTTTTGGAACCTCGGTTTTTTCTTTTGTTAAAGAAGCTATGCGGATTAAACAAGACAAGCACTAGTTACCAGGCACAAAACGCCTGATACGTGGTAGGCGCTCAGCGGTAGCTACAAGTACTGTTCTCTCATTTCCGAGAACTCCCGGAATGTTCTGACAGTCTAGTCAGGCATCTCTGGCAGGTGCGCCAAAGTTTTGAGAGAAGAGTAGACCAAAACTGTTTCTTGAAGTCTCCAGTGGAGTAGGGACACGGGAACAAAGCCGCCCCGGCCACATCACCAAGCTGTAGGGACCGCGGCTGGGGGAGCGGAGAGCCAGCAGATGCACGGTGCTGCACCTTCCGCTGACAGGCTCATGGAGACCAGTCGCGGGGTACGGGGCCCGGGGAGCCTCACTGCGTTCTGCCCCTGAGGTAGGGCAGGGTCCTGGCGGAGCGAGTCTGGCACCTGTCCCTCCAAGCCTGGCACGGCGTGGATAAATATGTGAGGAAGGGGAGCAGTAGCGTTTTACATCCAAACAGTACTTTAGTTTATCGAGCTTTCTGCACCCGTCCCGCTACAACAGTAATCCGGTAAGGTCAGACTTCAGGAATCCCCACCCCCACCGTGCAGATGGGAAGGCTGCAAGTAAGAGCATCACCACAAGGTGACCGAGGCCCAAGCGACAAGAACAGTGTACTTTGTAACTCACAGTGGGCGTGATGTCCACTGTGCTTGCTCTCAAAAATGTAAGCTCAGGAGGAGGAAAGAGAAAAGTCACAGGCCGTGTGCGATGTGGACTCTACCTAGAAAGGAGGCGGGGTGGGGTGGGGTGGGCGGGGAGGGGAATGGCCTTCTAGACCTCACTCTTGGTGCGAAGGCTCTTTTGTAAGCTGACCAAAGAAAATCTAGTCCTCCAGCAGGTGGCGTCGGTCGCTTCAGCGGGGGTGGTGCAAGACGAAGGTCTGGAGTTGGGACTAGGGAGAAGATGCACAGCCAGAGCCTACACCAGCTTCTGGTGTCCTGACTGCATTCAAGGGGCAAGTGGAACGGAAAAGAAAGGGTAAAAAAAATGACCCTGGATGTGAGTCCCTGGCAGACAGGCCAGGAGGTGCATGGGAAAGAAGCCACTGCTCAGAACTGCTCTCCAGGAAAAGCCAGTATCCAGTGACAGCAGCGAGCCCACCCATTTTCTCGGTAGTTCTGCAACAGGTTAGCAGCAGCCCAGGAGGAGAAAAAAAACAAAAACAAAAACTGCGAAAGGGGAATAACAGCAGCTAACTTTTAATAAGCACTTCATTCTCTAGATGCTGAGCTGGGCACTTTGTACACATACCTCCCTCTGACCTTCACAACAAATCTGTTGTTTTTTTTTTTAATGTTTATTTTGGAGAGAGAGACAGAGAGACAGAGCACGAGCAGGGGCAGTGCAGACAGAGGGGCAGACAGAGAATCCAAAGCAGGCTCTAGGCTCTGAGCTGTCAGCACAGAGCCCAACGCGGGGCTCGAACTCATAAATCATGAGATCATGCCCTGAGCCAAAGTCAGACGCTTAACTGAGCTACCCAGGTGCCCCTCATAACAAATCTATTAAGTGGGCATAATTGCCCCTATATTTTCAGGAAAGAAAAAGGTAACTTCAGAGGGGATGACTGAGATGGACTTGCCCACATGGTAGGACATGGATTTGACTCAAGTTGGGTCCCAGAGGAGATGTTCTTTTTAGCCCTGTCTGCATTAAAGGCAGCACCTAACTTAGTACCTGCCAACCAAAGGCACTGATTTTTGGCCCAAAATCAATCAAGTGAGCATTTATTCTTATTTATTCTTAAGAATTATTCTTGAGAAATGATTAGTTCTCAAACTGAGAAGTTCACTGGGGTGAACTTTCGGGAACTAAGATAGAGTGTAATTCCTTGATAGAATTTACCTATAATGCACCAGTTTACCATAGCTTGGAAAGGGTAAGACCAGAAGAAAAAGGTTTATCAATCAACTCATAAATATTTATTTAACTTTACCTACAAAGCACTTTAGGGAGCCACAGGGGCATACAGTGTTGCTTAAGAGATAAGGAGAACACACCAATTTTTAATAGAATTCAGGCACAGTACCTACTATTTCACTGAGTAGTGGAACTTGGCACCATTCCTCCAAACCTGAGCCAACCTCGTCAAATCAGAATAACTCATCCGACATTTATTGAGTGCCTTCTGAGAGCCAGGAATATCCATTAATTAATTTGTCTCTTAAAATAGGATAGTCGAGTGAGGTCGGAAATCAGGGATCATGAGCCTTCAAGAAACAAATTATCAAAGATAAAAACTAATGGAGATACCAGGGAGTCCATGGTGGTAATGTTAAGCACAAAAAACATGCCATTAACACACAAGGGAAAAATCGATCGTGTCTGAGGAATCTGAGGCTGGCTTCATGAGAGATAATATGTAATGTGTTATGCTTCCGAAGCATGAATATGGTTTTGGCAGGTCGAATGGTGCTGGTGGTGGTGCTGATGGAAGAAGGAAAGTGGGGGGGGGAGACGGGATGAAGGCAAATGCTTGGAAGATCTTTCAGGGGGTGACAGATCACCTCCTGTGTAGCTATTTACTATGCACTGGATTCCATCCTTTCTCTTCTACTCAAAGTCATCGATCCAGGAATTGTCCTCTCTCCTGGATCAATTTCCCCCTCTTTACTGGCTCATTCCCACCAATAAACAAATATGCTATAATAGTCCCATGGAAAAAAAAAAAAAAACCACAAAACCTGGGGGGAGGGGTACTTGAGCAGCTGAGTGGGTTAAACATCCAACTCTTGATTTTGGCTCAGGTCTCACAATTTCTGGGATTGAGGTCCATATTGGGCGCTGCACTGCCACAGCAGGGGTTTTCTCTCTCTTTCTCTCTCTCTCTGCCCTTCCTCTGCTCACATGCTCTGTCTCTTTCAAAACAAATAAATAAAGTTAAAAAAAACAAAAAAAACAAAAGTCTCCTGGGGCACCTGGGTGGCTCAGTCAGATGGGCATCCGACTCTTGATTTCGGCTCAGGTTAATTATCTCACGGTCGTGAGATCCAGCCTCAAGTTGGGGCTCAGCACGGAGCCTACTTGGGATTCTCTCTCCCCGCCTCTGCCCCTCCCCCACTTGCTCATGCTCTCTCTAAAAAAAACAAAAACAAAACAAAAACCTCCTGAACAACTTTAACCACACTGTCATCCTGGCACTCCACTGAAACAGCTCTTGTCCGGGTTACCAACGACCTCCACGTGGCCAAATCCACGGTCCTCATTTACTTGACCTGCCAGATGCATCTGACACACTCCATCTTCCTTGGAACATACTCCTCACTAACTTCCACCGCATTCTCTTACTTGTCCGCTAACTTCGCTGGCTGTTCCTTTTCAGTCTCCTTTGCTAGTTCGTCCTCACCTCCATAACCCCTAAAAGTTGGGACACTCCAGTGTTCAAAGACCTGCCCCCTTCCTAGATTTATTCTCCAGGTGATCTCACACATGAACGTAAACACCGTCTGTATGCGCCGACTCCCACATTTATCTCTCTTACCTGGGCCTCTCCTCTGAACTCC